CTAATAATATGTTTAGAACAAAAGCTTATTAGGAAAATTGTAAAAATGCCACTTTTTATGTGCACATTTGCAAAAATACCACTTAGGGGTGTTCATTTAAAAAAATACAACTAATTATAGATTTTTAAACCCTATATCAAAAAATTATAAATACTAAATTTTTTTTTGACCTATAAACCCTCATAACTAAACCCTAATAGAAAATAATTAACCAAAACATAAATAATATAAAGAAAAAATAATTTTGAAAAAGTGGCATTTTTGTAAAGATTTCAAAGTGTGGCATTTTTGTAAAGTGGCACTTGAAAAGTGGCATTTTTTTAAATTTCTCAAACTTATTTGGGGCAATTGCAAAAATATCACTTTTGGTGAGTACATTTGCAAGAATGCCACTTAGGAGTGTCCATTTGTAAAAATGCTACTAGTTATGGATTTTTAAAACCTAAATCTTAAAATTATAAATCCTAAAAAATATTTTGATCTCTAAAATTCCTTAAATCCTCAAAACTAAATCATAATACAACATAATTAACCCAAACATAAAAGACCAAAAGAATATTTTTTTTAAATGACATTTTTGCAAATATTTTGAAAATGTAATATTTTTGAAAATTGCATTTGAAAAATAATATTTTTTAAAATTTCTCGGTAATTTTTTTTTTTTTTAATATCCGATTGCAGTATAGTCAAAGACAGTTTACTATTTGACCCTACCTAGGTAGTAAATCCTGTTATTTGATTTTCATTATATACCATATATAAGGTTAATTATATATTTATAAACATTTCCATGTAGGTCACATACTCACATCCATGTTTTGGAAATTCTTATCTGTCGTTGAGTGTACACATAAACGTACAAAAATTTGTTTAATTTCCACGAAAGTCGTTAAACTCGAACCACTCTATACGTTTGGTTATCCAAACAGAAACACACATTTGAGAAGATATTTAAAATATTATTGGTCCAAAACCTAACTCATATGCGTTGGATTACAATGTAATCATCATATAAAATTAAAAATTTTAGTTTTATATGTGGAAAAAAACCTACCCTTCTTGCTCAGCGTGACCACTACGCGCCTCCCAAAAAAAGATGCCAAAACAAGAAACAACCTGCGGCCTTAAAATCGCCTAAACCACGCGCCGAGCAGAGCAAGTGTAGTGGAATATCCATAGTTTTAAATTTCTTCTTCTCTCTAAAAACCCAAACTATTTCTCTCACCTAAATTCTCCTCCGATTTCTCCTTTAACAGTTTAGTCTCATCTCTCGGAGATCCGGCTCG